CATAATTGGATGATATAAACTTACAGAGGCTCATGACAAGTGAAACCCATGCATCTCTATTAATTTGTATCTCTATTTGTATATTTGATATATTTAGTATGAATAATTTATATACTCCAAAAACTAAAATAAAATAAATATCAACCATTCAATCAAAACCATCAAGAAATAACCNAAAAAAAAAAAAACAACAAACAAACAAACTCCATTTCCATAAAACAGAGAAAACAGGACTACCATTAATAATCAATTCCCTTGCATATGGTTCGATGAGACCCACGAGCCACTCGACCCTAGCGGCGGTGGTGGTGGTAGCACTCCTCCTCCGGCCATCTGCCGCCAGTGGCCTCGGTGGCCTCTTCCCGGAGATCGAGATTACCCTCGCGAACGATGGACTCTACCCTGTTTGGTTCATGTGCCAAATGACGGATCACGCGGACTCCCTATACGAGCTCTCCCCAAACTCCACGTACCGATTCAATTTCGAGCAGGTCGCGTTTCCCATGCGGTGGTGCTACCTTTACATAAGCCAAACGAGCCACGGGTTTTTCTGGGCCTTTACGGTCAGGTCGAGATGTACCAAGTGCTTCTGGAGCATTAATCGACACCCGTCTCTTTATAGGGCCGATAAAGGCCGGTGGGAAAGGCAGAAGCTTTTTATGCCGCCCGATTTTAACATCACTCGATATTTCAAAAGCGACGATAAGGATGACTCGGATTCGGGTGGGTCTGATAGATGATGATGATGATGATGATGATGATGATGATGATGATGATGATGATGATGATGATGATGATGGCAAAGCAGCTTGAATTGGATGTTTTGGATGATTTCATGAGTGAGTGCTTAAACATATATATGTTTGTGTGGTTAATTGGAATTGATTTGGCGATGGAAAAATTTTACATAAATATATAGCTAATTGATATATTTTGTGGAATTAATGTGGTTTCTTGCATGGACTGGGGCTGATGTAGGGATGTTTTGATTCAGAACGAGGTAGATGGCTTCACAAATGTTTTGTAGCTTTTTTAATTTTTTTTTATTTTTTTATTTTATGTTTAGAGATTAAATAATTTATCATTTTAATTAATCTTTTTTTTTTTCGTGTGTGTGTGTGTGTGTCAGTGTGTGAGAATTCTATTTTTCTGATCGGGCGAAAATAATTTTGTCCGGCACCAAATTATCAAAGTTTATTGATCATTAGTGGAACTAATCAATGGATTTGGGATGAGCTTTGATGGCAAAAAGGAAGAAAGAACTTGGCATATGTTTAGATCCAGCCATTACAAGAAGTTGCAGTTAGTTATATGAAGTTCCAAAATTCTATGGAGCCATAACTAGTTGGATCAATAGTTAGACTTGTATGACAGAGCAACTTTTGGTCGGTTCTGACAGATCAATCTTTCGACGATTGATTCACTGGCCAACGGTTATCTCCATCGAACCAAAACCGCTTTGTTGATCGATTCCTTGTCCAACCAATCACACATCAACTACGAAAAAATCTCATTGTCTACATCACATTGAACCGCTTGTTGCATTTTTGAGATTCTATTGCTAAACAGATTCATAATAATTTTGGAATAGCGTAGAATTCCTACTTTTAATAGATTTATACGTTTTTTTGCTTCCGGATGCGTTTGTTCAAATTAAGTTGCGTCTAGACATGGTTGATAAGTTTGTGAATGACTAGGGCTATTAGAGATGGGGGTTGTTTTCTCTTCTTATCCCTGCAACAACTTTGATAAGGGTAGCTAACAATTCTACCACCTCGATTTGTGGAGAAGGACAACATCTATTTGGAATTCTTGTGCAATGACTGGTTTACGACTAAATCGGCATACAATATCTTGTTGTTTTGCAGAAGAAAAATGAGCACAAATGCCTTTGAGAGTGATATGGTCTTGGAGCTTTTAAAGCTACACAGTAAGAGAGTGGCCGATTGCATACTAGTGATGACTAATGACATACACTTTGAGATAAAGTGTAACAATGGAGCTCAATATTATGTGAACTTAAAGGATAGAGTTAATTTGTTCAAGTAGGTCCTGGGGATTGTCTGGAATTCCATGCAACCATGCTTCGAGTGCCATCTATTTCCAGAGAGGTAGTGTTGTGGACTGTATAGATGAATGCTACAAAATGTCTAAGTATATATGACCACTTATGAGAAGACCTTGTATCTAGTTAATAGCACTGGACTTTGGGAGAATAATAGTTTCATACCAACACTGCCACCAAATTTTGGAAGGGGTGCAAAGAGGCATTCTAAAGCAAAGAGAAGAGAAGCTGACATCACAGTTGGGAAAAAATAAGATAAAGGAACTTCAGCTTCTACAAAGATGAAGAGGCAACAAACTAAGTTGAACTATAACAAATGTGGTGGAGAAGGGCCTAATGTAGTCACTTGTCCATTTTTTTATTTAGATAATTCTGCGATAAGCGATTCTACAGATGCTCTTATTGATGGACACATCAACCCGCCTCACCTCATTCTTCTCCTTCAGTAGAGGGTTTTTCCAAAACTTACTCATATATCCTCTCGACCTTTCCGCCTAGTCGACGAACCTGAAGATGATATCGATCGGGACCAAAGGTTAGGTATTGTATTTCTTGATCCTGTATCTCCTTAGCTTGAGCCAGAACCTTAAAAAGTACTTCCCTTGCCTTCATAATTTGCCCGATCTACTTCTACTGCCATAGCTATCTTACCTCTCCTACATAGTTTCATTCCTCGTATTGTCTCAGTAGCTCGAAAGGCTAACCCTTTCATCGTGATTGGTTGGACCATTTTCATATTATGTGTGAGTTCCCGACCTCTTGGAAGTTTCGTATTCCTGAGTCTTTCACTCATGACGTACCTCTGAGAGATTGTTATACCTTCTTTTGCGACTAGATCGGGAGTATACTTAGGTTCCCTACTCGTGCAAGTCTTATATCTTTGTGTGCTCTTTACGGCATCCCAGTCAACCAGTTTTCTCTGAACTCATTCAGAATAATGGTAGCATTTGTTGCCTTGAGTTATTGTAGATTCGGTCACGTCGATACTAACTTCTTTGTGCATTGCTACAATGTAAAATTTCAAAGTGATACTTCTTACCTACTCGATGTTGGCCATCCCTTTCGAAGAGAGCGAAAGTTGGGAATCTGACCCTAAAGCTTGAGCTTAATACAAAGTTATTGTCATTGCTCGCGTATGTTCTATTTGCGACTTCGATTAGAACCTTTAGTTAAAAGCGTTTATTTGACAATTCCTTGACATCAAAGCTCATATCCGTGGTCATCTCCATGTTACAGAAAGGCTGCACAGCTCCTCCATTTCCAACGTGGAGCTCAAAAGCGAGTTGGAGCAAAAAACAAAAGAAGAACGAACATCTCATCAAAAATGTATTCGACCTCAAAAAATGACTCAACGACCAAACCGAAGAGCATGTTGCTGCTCTTAAGGCAACGGTGAAGAAGAAGAAAAAAGAGGTTAAGATCACTATTGACGACGGCCGCGTTCGTGGTCGTCAAGGCTTCCTTACATCTCGATTGGGGGGTCAATTCATGGAGGCTTACCAGGAAGAGCTTGTGAATGACTTTTGTAATTCTTCGAGCTTCCTCCAAAAGCTTGGCCCTACTATTGTCCAACATATCACCATATCACTAGACTGAGCTGAGGAGAAGCTCGACACTCAGGGTTACATAGAAAGCCTTGATCGCGACGCTGCAGAGCGGAGTCTTCCCTTCCCTTACGGCTACTTTGGCGATCCCAACCTCCTTCCTCCTCGTCAACCTCAACTAGAGGCGCCCCACACCGATCAAGTTGTTACTATACCTAAAGTGCCTACTCAAATTGAATAGGTACCTAAGGTCGCAGCTTATACAAAGGGATCGACACCCCTTGAAGAAAACACAACTCT